TGTCAGGTTGAATGATGTAAAGGTCTTAATAATAAAAAAGGCTCCTGGGATAGATATTTTCTGCAGGAGTAACCTATTCCATACACAGTGCTGACAGTCTGGGCCAGCCTTAAAAAAACAAGCAAGCCATCTCAGACTTCACTAAGGAAAACTTCAATGTTGACTTAAAGTTGTGTCTGACCGAGCAAAGTTCATTGATCCATGTTTTGTGTGTCATATGGACTATCTTTTCATATGCATTAACACCTCCTAATGTCTTGAGTTAGGAATCGTTAAACAAATCCATGGCAAAAAAATTGTTTAGAAAAATGTACTGAAAAAAAGGGGACAAATAAGAAGGATATACTTGCCAAAGGATTCTGATGCAAGCATCTGCTTTTCTTTTTTTTTTTTTTTTTGAAGACGCAATAAAAAGCTATTAAAAGTCACCTTGTTCCAAATAGAAGCCCGTATTTTCTTGTGAAGACGCTTCCCATTTGACTGAAGGAAGGTCACTGGAAGTCTATCCATACAGAAACAGCAAACCAGAATATAGAGCTGATTTTAGAAAACCCAGTTTCGTTATAGCTCTAAGATGAGAGAGATTAGATAGGAAGAGATTAGGAAGAAGTTCTTCACTGTGAGGGTGATGAGGCACTGGAGCAGGTTGCCCAGTGAAGTTGTAGATGTCCTATCCCTGGAAGTATTGAAGGCCAGGTTGGACAGGGCTTTGAGGTATCCCTGAGGGGGCTGGAACTAGATGATCTTTCTTTAAGGTCTCTTCCAACCCAAAGCATTCTATGGTACGACTCTATGATTAGTTATGATACATATAAAATTGTTAGGAAGTTTTAAAACACTTTCTTTATTAGTGTTGCTTGCTTGGCATGTTTGCTGAGCTTAGTTGCCAATGTTAGTTGCCAAAAAACATTTGCAAATAATTAAATGACAAATTATCTCAGTTAAATCAAACTTTAACATTACGTTAATCAGCTATATTCAATAGTGCATTGGTGTTTCAAAACAGTGTAGTGGGGAAAAAAAGTTAGTTTAATTTCCAGCAATACAGTGAATTTCCTATACAAGGTTTTTATGCATTAATCTTTTTTTTTTTTTAAATTACATATTACTGCTTTCAGTAAATTCACAAGGTAGTTCAGGAGCATAAAATAGTGCACAAATCACTTCTTACAGCAACATCACATAAGATGACATACAGGATCAAAGAAAAACCCCACTGTGCATGTTTCATAATATAAATTAAGAAAATTACTCAGACTTGACATTTCTACAAAGCAATTCATCCACTAGACGGAACAGTGAATAATTTACCTGGAAATGGATACTGAACATGTGTTATTGGGACATTAACGTACAGGCAGCTTACACAGGAGAATGGCATGAGACAACTTTCCTAAGTGGGGGGTTTCATACACCTCTTTCATGAAACTTCCTAAAACAGTGTATGAAATTCAGTCTTTTCACTCTCTGGAATTAAAGATGGCTAGATTATCTCTCCAAGTACTAAAGGGTTTGCACTCAGATTAAGAGAGAAGATTATTACACTGGAGACCAGCAAATTGTAAATGAGCATGTAATATACTCTTGTATTGAATATATTTTATTGTACTACCAACTGTTGATCCAAAAGCACCACCAAATATGGGCTACTACAAGTAAACGGGTTATTCTATACACTGAAAGGTAAATCTTTTTTACAAAAAAAATATTTTTTGCTGACTGCTTTGCTGAGTTAGCTACTGATAAAAACCAAGGTACACAGCGATGCATCGGAAAGCATTATGCAGAACCTGGGTGTCAAAGGGTTTGTTACCTACCTAATGCAAAGTAATCAGAAAGCAGAAGTAGCATGGGAAAGCAGTCAACATCTTTCAGTGTAAGCACACAGAAAATTGTAGCTGAGGAGTCAGTGTTGTGGTGGAACTGACTGACCCTTCAGTTCATGCAAAGATGCACATTTAGATCTATTTGAGTCACCCCCAGCTATGTAATAGATTTGCAAGATTTGCTAGATTTGCAAGAAGGCTCCTGTGTGTGATACACAGGACTAGAAATTTCATGTATGGATTCACACTTCAGGTACAGCAACTATTACTTGAGTATTTATTGTCTATATGTGTTTTTTTTATACTGCATATAAACGTGTAACCTCCAAAATATTAACTGTCTTTACATGCTATTGTATTCTTGATAGAATAGTTTTAGTTTAATTAATATATACACAAACCTATTTAAGCACAGATCCATTACCAGCCTTTTTCTCCTAACCATTTCTCCAAACAAGCTCAAAAATAATGTTAGCATTAACTAAAATACAGTTAGCTCTACCCCATTTCACTATAGATATTGGCCAACTACATTTGTAATGGTGTATGATTTTTGGTTTATTGTTTTCTTTTTTTACAGGATGAGAACATAATGCGATCCATGCAGCTCTTTGAAAATGTGATTTAATGAAGACAGTAGGTCTACAATTAATGGACAAATATGAGTTATTCTGCAACATTATCTAAAAGATGGATTTCCACTTTATCATAAATAAAATTACTCAGCTTTACACTGAGACATGTATTATGCAAATAATTTTTTATTATAAACTTCTCCCCCAAAAATATTTTTAAATTATACAATTTAGCACTTCAGCAGTGGCTAGTTAGTTAATAAGACTGCTCTTCAAAGTCATGTTTTCACTCCAAACCCAAACAAAACAAGACCTTACATTATTATAATTCCAACACATTGATAAAATAGATACTATAACAAGGAGATTAACTAAATATTCTAAGTTTTGCTACTCATTTGTATTGGATTAAGCTCCAGATGTCTGAGTGTATTTCTCAAATAATAGCTTCTAATTTATACAGAGGTATTACCATGTTTGTTTTTTTTCCAAATTTGTATGGTGTAGTCCTCATTTTTTGAATAATACTTTGAGTTAAAGTGGTGTACTCGATATGCAATGCACATCATGCTGCTATTGCCTTCCACCTTTGACTTGCTTTTCTATTAAAAAAAACCCTCCAAACCTAACAAAATAGGTAACTTGAAAAGAAGAATTGCTGTAGAACAAAAAAGACATTGCTTATAGGTAGATATACTCCTTAACAAATATGAGTAAGCTTCTATCAATCACACTTACCTAATGAATCTGCATTTATCATGAGAGGAGTCCTACATACTGTATTTCTAATTCTTCTTCAACGTGTCTGCAAAGTTCTTTGCTTAAAATTAAGGATCTTCCAACTTAAATTTTTCATGAAGAAACCCAAAACTGTTTCCATGAGTATGTGTCTTTCTGCCTTTAATGAAGAAAAGGCATGAACTTTGGAATCTTTCATCCTGCCTCAGTGCTCAGAATGAATATTACTATGTAGTATCATATATTAATAATGACTGACTGCTAGACAGGCTAACATCTGTATCAACTTTCTGCAATATCTTCAATTATGAGACAGAATGAAAAGAAAATGGGAAACTTTAGCTATACAATATCATCTATGTGTACAAATGCATTACTTTTTTTAGGATCACATCTTCATTAAGATTGGAGCTACATTAATTCTGAACCTGGAAAGACTTTTCTATAAAAATATGTACCTAAATATAATACTGCCCCCCTATCCCTGTAATTTTTAAGATATACAGTCCACAGAGGTTTCTTCAAAAGAGGTGAAATGCTATCAGATATAGGCCAATCTTCATTGTGACATTGCTGCAGAAAATGTGAAAGGGGATTAATGAAATAGAAAGAATGTTGCAAGTGCATTCTTTGGAAAAATAAATCAGGTATCTATTCTGGTGTAGAGATGGGATGTTAGAGGCATGTTGAAGGCTGCTCTGCTATCACCAGTGTAGGATAAGAGTAGTACAATACATGTACACCTGAAATCTGCTGTAGTGTGCTTGTGTAAACTAAGTGTGCACAATTTGTTAAAAAAAAATAAAATAAACATGAAGAAAAATCAGCAGCATGATCGATTTTTTAAAGTTGTTAAGCAAATACCTGTATTCAAATTAAACTTTTTTGTCAACAAGATTAATTTTTTTAAGAGGCTTAAATACATAGATCTTGCTTTTGCACAGTTCTGATCTTAGCATGGTCCTGAAGTAAATCTAATTTAGCCAAGCAGTTGGAACAAGTCCAGAGAAGGGCCACAAGGATGATCAGGGGACTGGAGCACCTCCCATATGAAGACAGGTTGAGAAAGTTGGGGCTGTTCAGCCTGGAGAAGAGAAGGCTGCGTGGAGACCTCATAGCAGCCTTCCAGTATCTGAAGAGTGCCTATAGGGATGCTGGGGAGGGACTCTTCATTAGGGACCATAGTGATAGGACAATGGGTAATGGGTTAAAACTTAAACAGGGGAAGTTTAGATTGGATATAAGGAGGAAATTCTTTCCTGTTAGGGTGGTGAGGCACTGGAATGGGTTGCCCAGGGAGGTTGTGAATGCTCCATCTCTGGCAGTGTTCAAGGCCAGGTTGGATGAACCCTTGGGTGAGATGGTTTAGTGTGAGGTGTCCCTGCCCATGGCAGGGGGGTTGGAACTTGATGATCTTAAGGTCCTCTCCAACCCTAACTATTCTATGATTCTATAAGCAGTGGTAATTTAAAAACAAAATTTAAAAACAAAATTTGAAATTGCTTTCATATGTTCATACAATAAACTTTTTTAATACCACATGAAACAGCATCTTCTGATGACAAAAAAAAAAACAAAACAAACCAAAACAAAAACAAACAACAAAACACAACCTTTAAAAAACAAATTTAAATTCCAGAATTTCATTTTCCGTAGGGGAAAAAAAGTTCTGTGGCATATCTTGTTACTCAGTCAGCTCTCCCTTACAGAGAACCCTGAACAGTATTTATTACAAGACCTGTTAGGAATTATTTTATCAAGTTCAAATATGTTAATGGAGAAATGCTGCCCCCTACAAGGCTTGACAGCCAGGTAAGCTGACTTCTGCAATCTTTTTATTGTCTTCAACTCGTGGGGGGGGTTTTATAGCTTCTACATTCAGAAGTGTATTAGCTTGCCTGGTGCTGAATTCACAGGCTGGTCTTAAGCACATCTGTGGCATTACAGAACTTAATGCAAAGGGCGCACAATGTAAATACTCCAAAGTTGCCTGATACATCTTGCTTACATTCAGTAGGCCAGCTAACTGGATTTTCAGCTAACTGGAAATAATTGGTTGAGCAAAACCTAGGCTGTGGCTCTATGGAGCAACCTGATGTCTCTGCATTGTGTTCTCCAAAACTTCTCCAGCTTCTCAAAACAATGTGCTGATAATGCACTGAGCAAGTTCAAGTAGCACTGCATGCTACCTGTTTAGTGTGTTCTCATTCATACCTTTAAAAGCTGACTCTCAAGAAGTCCAGATGATTTCTCATAGCTCTACATCTAACCCAGTAAGTCCTGATGAACCCAAAATGCATCAGCTGTGCCTGCAGCACAAAGTAAGTTATGTGTCTGAAAAGTGGGTGTACATATATAAGATACTATTTTAGTAATTAAAGCCAAATTATTTTGCATCACACATGTACAAAACATTAAAAGCTGCTGACATATTAAAGGACATTGTAATTTACAACAAAATAAGAATCAATATTTACTCTGCTTTTGAAATAATAGCCAGTTAGTCAATGTCATTGTAAGCACAATGCATATGCGAACAGCAGCCAATACAGAGAGACTTTTTTTAAGTTGTCTTCCATAATTACATATTCATAAATTGATAGGACTTTTCCCACTCTCCATCATACTGAGGAGTTGTGATTATTTTAAGAGATTATACCGTACCCCAAATAAGTGTCAGTGACATTCACAGGCAGTTTCTTTCCAAACTTCACTTTACAGTACAAATTGCTACAGTTTTCTTGTTTAAGAGGAGACAGAACAATGTGTTGGAATTTTAGATTTGATGATAGCCGTAGCCGCCTGTTGAGAAAATAAAACAAATTGAAACAAGAAACACTAGTACTACATATGACAGCATTCATATAGTCTCTATAAATTGTATAATTCACAACTTTTACTTAGTTATCTTCATTATTAATCAAATCATAAAAAAATGAGAAGTTGCTATTTGCTGAGAAATTTACTGTCAAAAATGCTGACAACAATGAACTGAAAAAATGGACCACTGTGATAGGTAATGCTGGAGAGTAAACATCAAACAGAAGAGATATGCAAATTCATACCTAAAACTGGGCATAAATACAGACATGATATACTATGGATTTTTAAACAGAGAAGTAATACTCTGGAAGGGCCTTCCAATAAGAGTAAGAATCATATACATTTTAACACATGTAGAATAGAAATTTTATAAATTCATTACTTGTATTATATAATATTGAGTACAATCACAACTTAGGAGTTTGTTTCCAGTTTATGTTTTATCTTATTATAGTATTTTTTTAAAAGACTTACAGAAATACCTACTCACAAAAATGGTAAGACTACAATAAATCAGCGGACAGACAGAAGAATTAGAGGTCAGTGATTCTCTGGATTAGTTACATTATCTAGAACTGAATTTTCAGATCATCAAGATGAGATGCAATTTTCCTTTTCCTGTCTCACATCATTTAAATAAAAAACTCTCATGCTGCTTTATTTGTTGTGATGTTTTTCAGGTCTGTAATACAAACAGTGATTTTGCCCTTAAATGAACATGAGAACACGCACACACACAAAAAATGAAGTACAAACTTAGAACTGGTAGACCTATATTTATGGTTCCTACTCTTTAGGTTATTCTTATTCTTTACCAATGACCATTTACTATAATACATGCAAGTGTTCATAGGGTCAAGAAAGCCGGTATTTTCTCTTCCACATGAATATCCAAGCCAGTACTCTTTTTTCTTCTCTCTTTGCACATGTATAACACAACAAAAAATGGCAACAGTGTTCAGCAGAAAAATATTCTGCCATCTGCTACTTAAAGCTTTTTTTTTTGATATATTTTATTTTTAATTTATAGCAATTGTAGCTCTAACCTCTATGTTAACCAAGGTGGGCTGGAATGGGACTATCTGATTTCCACAGCAAGTGATCTCCATAATAAGCTATTAGTGAGAATGGTCAGGCATCATCAATAACAGCAAAAAGTCTCTTTTAGAAAGAGTAAATCCTGTTGAGAAAAGTATGTAGGCTCACAAAAGAAAGGAACGCATAGCGTGCATCCAGCCCAACTCAGGTGTCAATATTCCAGAAGGGGAGGAAGCTGTTTACTAGTTGACATTTGGTGAATTCTTGGATCATTCTTCATAGGCAACTAGCCTACCCTATGGACTGTACAAGGAGCTCACAAGCTTTACTCCTCAGTATAAGCATTAACTTTCTAAGAAGTGTTGTAATGCCCTACTTGGAGTAAGGACTTAGGCATCCTGGGTCTTACCCCACACAACTAACCCATCTGTCACACCAGTTCAAACGCTGGGTGAAAAAAAGTCTTTCTAGAGAAAAGGAAAATTTTCATGAAAGAGCAGCAAGTATTTCTTTTAACTACTAAGTTTGTATAAACTTCCCACCAAGGACAATAAAATGTTCCAAGCAAACATCATAGGTAGGAATCCACATGTATGTGCATTTGCTCCAAAAAATAGAGCTCTCCTGAATGGGGCTTGATGTGGTGTTCTGTAAGAGTCAGCCATGCAAATTCCTATGTATGTATGGATCCCTTGGAATATTTTACTGAGACATTCTCTTGAATTTCCTGCTCAGAGATTAAAACAATGGAAAATACAAATGAAAAGTGAAATATAAATAATGGATTACAACAAAGCCTAACTGTCAGGATATGGATTATCCAGACTAGACTTAATGCCATTTCTGCTACCACTCAATATATCAACTGACTAAAACAACTCTTTCACTATGGACTGGAATACAGCTCAGCTGATTGCCATAGTGCAAAATTCTGTGGTTTATGATATATGAATAGTAGTGACATGTAAAAATAAGCAGTTTTCAGAATGGGGTAAATCTGAAAGAGAGATGGAAGCTGATCTGGCAAAGCTGCATTCAAATGTGAAGAGTACAGAATAGTCATGAGATCAGCTCACCTTTCCACCATATTGCTCCAACTTCTGTAAAGCAGCAGTAATTTTTTCTCTAAATTTCTTGTTCATTAATCTCCTTGAAAGCTATTGGAAAAGTAAAATAAAAAGGTTAGTTGCACAATGTAATACAGTAGATGCAAAGAGGCCAATATAATTCTATTTTATTACTTTAAATTTCCACAGATAAGATGAAATAGAGATGAAAAGGAACCACTTTATAGCTTGTCACTGATGTCAAAGTATGAAACTCAGTGAAGGTAAAAGGAATAAAATGTTAAGTGATGAGAAATGTTAATTCAAAGAAAGCTCAACTGTTCGCCAAAAAATGCTTCATTTTTCTTTTAGCAAATTTTGAAGACCTATCAACCTTATAAAAATTAATTCTTAAAGTGTTGCCCAGATGAAAAGTTTACACATTTTTCATGTGCACTGAAAAAGATTTATTATAGTGGAAATGCTAAAAAAACCAACAAAAAAACTTCCTGCAATTTCTCCCTTCTGCACTGGATGCCTAAAAGGTCCTTTTATTTTGCTGTAAAATCACACTTTGGAAGTAGGCTAAATGAAACCATGACAAGCCCATCTGACAGAGGACTCAGTATAAAAATACTTTCCATAATCTCCCTCTAATTTTATTTAATGAAAAATTCCTTGTGCAGAATTCTCATCTGAAAGAAGTGGGAATATTTGCTTAAGTTAATTTATTGGAACTCTCACAGATCTGTTAAAATGTTCACACTTCAAATGCAAAACTCAACATAAACTTCCCTTCAAAACACAGCCTCTATTTCACCTCAGGCTTGAAGCTGCATCTTTTTATTATTTTTATTTTCCACTATTCTCTAATTTATGTTAACAACAGTTTTTGGACCTTGCTAGAACTTTATAAGTCACCATATTATTAAAGAATTATGGACTTACACAGGGGAATATATGAAGCTTGTTTTTCATGGAACTTGAGTTGTACTGTATCTATGCAGATATTATAGTAAACTTCTCAACAAAAGTACAATAAAAATACAGATCATATTTTACTATAGCAGTAAAAACTTACATTTGTGAGTAGATGCTTAAGATGATCATTAAGAGATGGGCCAACCACAGCACTCAGTTGAACTAAAGCATCCAATCCTCTTCCAAATACTTCATCATCTGAATGGGCCTCCAGAGGGGGAAAGACAAATCCCATCAGCAATATTCAGACAAATGCACAAGTTATTTTTAAAAATTAAAATTACTGTGTAACTGCTACTTGCTATAATGTTACAAGTTTAGAAATCAAGTACAATGTAACAATATTAGTATCTAGAGGTAACATTTAAAAAACATGTATTTTTAGAGTACAAAAGTATCCATAAAATGTCAGAGAAATTCTTGCCTTTCTTTTGAAACAAGGAAACTAATAATTTATTAATGATGAAATAAAAAATTTTGCATGCAAACCAAACAGTTTACTACACCAACAATTTCAGGGCTCCCAGCATATTAGAAAGAACCCTTCAAATACTGGTATGTTGAAATTGGGAGATGACATCTTAGTTACATAGTACCCTGAATCTATGTAATACTTAACCATAATTGTCTTTGTTGGAGAAACACAGGAGCCAATGAGTTTCTGGCTCAATTAATTTAGTCCCTTGCCAGCTCTGTCACCTGCAGCAATGCTCAGGCTGTTACCTACTTCTAGGGTGCTCTGTCATTCTTGTTAATCCCATTGGAAGGTTCTTCTCTACCTGAATTCTCTAATGGTCTAGTTATTTCACTCTTCCCTTAGCAGAGAAATTGATTCACAACAATTTATTTTGTTCTTGTATGAATACTGACCTTTATTTAAAGTTATTTTTCCACTCTGATATTTGGGCCCTGAACATTTTCTTGTTAATTAGAAGTCATCGGCTGCTTGTGTAGTAGAAGGTTTAACAAGACTTTATACCAAAATAGTGCAGCAATGAAAATTACCAGATGAATAACAGTAATGGGAAGAACACATAAGAATATTTTTTCTAATTTGTCTTCCAAACTGAACCAAAGATACTCATAACACACAATTCTGATCTGTTACACTTCTGATCTGAGAACACAAAGAATTTTCAACCTTTCAGTGACCTCTATAAAACCAGAACTAATACTCAGGTAGATTAAAGGATAGCAAGAAGCTAAACCAGAAAAGAGCTCTGAAAGTTATGAAAAAAATCCAAAAGAGATTACCTTTGAGGACCATACTTTTACCTCACTTTATTTTCTGAATGAGTAGAAAACTTAAAAACGTTTAAAAAATTAAGAATATGACCTCAGAGATTTTAATGGTATTCTTCCCTTTTTCTCATTGGCATATTCTATCTTTGTAGCAGGTTTTGAATTTTTAAATCAGAGTATCAGAATTATTTGGGTTGGAAGCCAAAAGCCTATGAAATAGACTTATCATGTTAATATTTTCCATGTAGTCCTCACCAGCACAACAAAAAAAAAAAAAACAAACCCAAAACAACCTGTATTAAAATATCTGCATGAAGAGTAAGACATACCAGTGCAGCCTTTAAGACTGGAACTAGACGAGGTAGTAAGGGAACTGCTTTTTCAGTAGCACCATCAATCATAAGTAATTCTTTAAAACCCTCCTTTGAAACAAACGTATAGGGATGTTTTGTTTCTCTCAGACCCTGTTGCAAATGTAAAACATGTTTGCTTAACAGCGAGTCTTCTTTTAAACAAAAACAATAAAAAAGTTGCACATACCAGCAAGATGTTTAGATTTTATTACATCACTTCAAAACATAAAGTACACTAACTCCACCATGTGGAGCCACTGCAACTTTGCTCAGAGAATATTCTTAACTAAAGAACTACAAATAGCAATGTTCTTGCCCATCTTCATTCATACAAGATCCTCATAATTATTATTTTTTTTTTTTTATTTCCCTAGGAGGTGAGTCTGAGAGAGCTTGCTTAACTTGTTACAAAATGCTGTTTTCAATTAGGAAATCCTGCATCCTTAACTTTGCAAGAAAATTGAGTTTACCTCTGCCAATGTCACAAGAAGAGGATCAAAGGGAACAGTTTCAGGAAGGCATTCCCACTGCAATCTGTGCTTTACTGATCCATGCACTAACCTATATAAAAAAAAAGTTTTAACAAATTAACATATAATAATACACAATTTATTGCTAACACTATTGACTTCTAATACATCACAAATTGGTTTGCAATATTACTAAAATTTTATATACATAATTTCAATATGCACTGCTGTCCTTAGTGAAATGGATAATAGTATTTAACAATGCAATTATTATCATTTCCAAACATGGTGTTTTTCAAAATTCTGCTGCCAGTCACATAGAAATCAGAAAAAAAAATTACAAAATGTATAGATGCCTCTCATAATGACACAAAGATGCTCTCCTTGCAAAGTCACATTTTGATAAATATAAATAAACATTTTCCTCAAATAACAATTGGTAGGTGAAGTCAATTGAAACTAAAAGAAAATCATATTTGAATCCATCAGTTACTCCTAAGATACATAAAAATGCTGTGTATTAATGACTATTTTATACATGTATATTCATGCATGAATGATTACTTAAATTTTTGTTATGTAATTTTGCATCCACTTACAAAACAGTAAAGTGCTTACTGACTAGGCAAATATATAATAAACAAAAGCAACTTAAAGAACCACAAACTATTAATTACTAGTAGTTTTGTTAACATGTGATATTGCTGACAACTACAGAATTGGAACATTCAAGAAAAGTTGTTATACTACTCCAGACAAAAAAGACTGCAAGTTGTCTACTTACTAAAGTGGCATGTATTCTATTGTTAGTAGGGAGAAGTAAACACCATTATCCGGAGAAATAAACTTCTTTCATGAAAGAGCTTCAGCAAACCTGCAAACACCTAGCTGCAGTTTTAAAAAATAGCTATGGTATTAACGCACAACATAGCAAAAAAAAAAAAACAGAACCAAAAGAAGGCAATTTCAAAGACATAGAAAATTGCCTTCTGTTCTGAAAAGAGGTAAATATCAGAAATCTTTTCAGAAATGAATGGAATCAAACAGCCTATCTAAAAGATCAAACATGAATAGATGTATTTCAACCTGTGTAATTCTACCTAACCATCATATACTTGGTAAAAAAATAAACAAAGCCTACCCACCTGCACGGAATGCCACCTTTAGCGTATATAGCAGCAAATGCAGAAGTTGGTCGAGAATAAGCACCAAACTGTGACCACAGAAAAACAAAAAAAAGCATTATTTATTAATAACAATGTTTGACAACTCTTATGAATATGTTACAACCCCAGTTTACAAATAGAAGGAACTTAGTCATATGAATCTAAAACGAATACAATTCCCCAACCCTGCAGCTATGGGGGGTGGAAAACATATTTGCTACATTTACCAGAAAACTGCTTTTCAGAATTATCTGGCTAGGAAGTTGAAAAAATTAGTAAATAATGTAGGATCAGAGCTGTCCTACTGGAATACCCAGTATTTCTATTTTCTCTTGCAAATCTTAAATCAAAAATCGTACAGGTTTTCTCCTTAGTTGATTTAAGGACATCCCACTTTCCTGATGCTCTTATTGTTGGTATATTGGTAACATGCAGAAGGCATGAACTCCAGTGCCATCTTGACCCAAGTAGAGACAAAAGGACAAATGGAAAGATGTGGGAGAAACTCCAAATGTTGGGTAAGACAGTATAAGGTCCCTGAAATCAGCAGCAAGGTTCACATTGGCTGAGAATCTAGGGAAGACTCGCTGGAGAAGGAAACCAGCAGCCTCACAGGAGGAAAGCCTATCCAAATTTGGCTTTTATCACCTACATGCTTCTTATGTATATGAACTGTGATATTTGTTAGCATGATCATTCAATGCTACTTTTCAGATTAAAAGCCTTCTTTGCAAGTCTATGTGAATAAACAACTTTCATCAGTCTTCTCCTGAGAACCCAAATTCTTCATAAAGTATTACATATTCACAGTACTTGCGAGCTTCAAGTAATGCTCTATTTTGCTAGATTTTATGAGTTCTTGACGATCATCAAGATGATACCTGATTCTTGGTTTCACTGCATAATTGGAATTAGCTCCTGTAAAGTAGCAGGTGTCAAAATTTATAACTATACCAAATGAACTCCAACCCTTTTTAACAATTAGTTCTAAATCTTTTTTCAGGGCAAAAGCACGCATAAAATAAAAATGTCACCATCCATGCCAGAATTGTACCAAGCCCCCTTTTCCCCTTCTTTAAAAAAAGTAATAAGCATATTTACTTCTCAGGCCTTTATGCTTAGAAATTAGGGAATGTATGATTAATAACAAAAGCTTAGTTTAAATTTACACAACAGGACCAGAAAAAGAATGTCCTGCATGTATTTCATACAGCAATGAAATTTCTTCTGACAGGAGAACTGTTTAAAACAAACAGAAAACCCATCACCTATACTTCATCCCTGGCAGTGTTCAAGGCCAGGATGCACAGACTCTTGCGTGACATGCTCTAGTGTGAGGTGTCCCTGCCTATGGCAGGGGGATTGGAACCAGATGATCTTAAGATACTTTCCAACCCAAAACATTCTATGATTCTATGATTTTATACATACCGGATCAATAGTTTTAGGATTCAGCTTGTCACTAGGCTTTGGTTTAGTTGCGGGTTGTGGAGAATGTGGCAAAGGAGATGTCTTGCTCTTCTGTACTGCAGTCTTAGGTTTTATTTGGATGCCTGATGACATTCTGAAAACACTGCTTTCTAGAAATGATAAAGATTAAAAACATATAATAATTTTCATTCTTATATGACTGTCAAGTGTTAAAATCTCCAAACCTGAAGACTGACATGAACAATCAATCAAGAAAATCTCAGTAAGTGTACTAGAAAACAAATGCTTATTCTTACACATCTTACGCAGTACATGGGATAATTATGACAGTCTTGTCACTCCATCTGTCAAGTACACACATTTCCTAATCCTCCCCTTTACTTCTGCACTTTGACACCTGCAGCAAAAGTGAAATCAGCTACAGTTTGCTTTTAGGGTAGCCTACAGAAATCTCAGCAGTATTACGGTGCTCAGCAGAACAGCCAGCAGTGAAATAGGTTGGCTGAGTAAAGTAACAGCAGAGGACAGTAACAATCTGAGGAATAGCCAGGATGAAGGAATGAACAGAAGAGCAAGTGGATTAAGAACATAAAAAAACAAAGCAGAATCAGTAACACAAGAGAACAGAAATAAAAAGCAGAAAAGGAAGAACACAGAAAATTAATTCTAATTCATTCAGTAAGAAGAATTAAAAGTATTTTCTTAAAAAGAATGCAAAAATAGCTTTCTGTATACATCCTTAAATACTGATTTAGGTATACATATCTTCTAAATGTTAACGCATCAGTGTTAACAGGTGTTACTATATATGTTTGTAATTGGGTTAAAATGTCCCTGATAAAATTAATAGTCTACTGCCTTTTAACTTGCCAAGCCTGACACTGATGAATAAACCTGGCAAGAGGTTTCCAAACATTAATAAAATTATAAAATGTGAAAATGCTAGTTCTGAATATTGTAATGTTCAGTAATTTATGCTGCAGTGCAGTCTGGGTGGAGAAAAAAAAATAATAAATAAGAAATTACGTTCCTTTCATAAACAAAAAATGACACTGTATAGAAATTAAAACAATGGGAAGCCAATTAAATAATACACACAAACAAATATTGCCACAAGGATGAGCATGGTGCTTGCCATCCAGTCATCACCTTTCCCAAGTTGATGACACCTGTTTTTGTCTACAACATGATTACATTCCAAACACTGAGATAAGGATGAACTAGAGTGGCTGATTTTTTTTCTATGCTGCTTCCACGTCCTCAGCTTTATAAACCACCTGCCCTAATCTCTGCCAGAATCCTGTACATGCAGCCCTTGCTTAGCTTCTAATTCTTCCCTCCAAACAGAATTTCTAGTCAAGTACTAGGATTATTTCCAAATCTTTCGGATTATTTCTGTTTCTGGTAAGAAGTGATAAGGTCCCAGCACTTACATAGTATGCTATGCCCTTATGACTTGCAAAAAAGAATGAAACCTGATGTCTGTTTTTACTGAATGTTGAAAAACAACATGCAATAATGATCACCGTATTTTTTAAAATATAAATACAAAGCAAAACTAAAATTGAACATATAAATCAATGCTTCTTGATTGATTATTGTCCGTGATCAGGACTAGTGATGCACATCAGTTTACCCACTGCAGATCTTGTTTTCTTTTTCCTACCATGTTCATAATAATAATTTTCTAGTGACAGTCTTTTTAAAAGAAGAAGTAACATATCACAATTAGACAATTAAGTCTCTTCGGAGCATTCAAAAACTTACATGACACTTATGGGAACCGTTCTGCTTGTAAAGCACAGATCATTAAACCCAGAAATAATCTGAAGCCCTAAAAGATAAACAATAACGTAGGAAGAAAATTTAGTGATTTTGTTAAGTGCCAGCTCATTATCACAAAACTCTAATCACACTAGTGTCAGAAAACACATTTTTAACTATCAAAAAAATAAGAATCAAAATGGCTTTACACTATAAAAACACCATATAAATTCTTGACATTAGCATTATATATCACAAAATAGTGCTATCAGTGTCAACCCTCTCAATGTACAATTGCTCATAATGCAGTCATCATGCTATTAACAATATGTTTTTCTCAGAAAAGTATTCAGAAGTAATTCAGACGTATTCAAATTCTTTTCTTTTCCAAGAAGTAATTGAGATGCATGCCAATGTCTTTACTAAGATTTTAAATAATGACAAAATCTTGACGCACTTAAAAAGTTACCATCAGTTAAAGTAAACAATAAAGGCCGTGACAACAGGCAAGAACAATGTTAGCCCTCTGGGACAAAAGGCAGGACTTGAGTACAGTGACAAGGGTTTTGTAAAAACTAAATTGAGACAACATGCCTACGTATTGGCAGAGGAGGAGGTGGCAGAGAGTGGAAAAAGGACTTTTCACAAGGAGGCCTTAGTCTTCAGCGCAAGATGAAAGTTCTTGTGTAGTCACGAGCTGGGAGAGCCACATGCATTTGTAGAGAGAGCAGACAGCAGAAGTATAGCTGCGAGTCAAACAACTGACACACGAGGTACAGAAGTGAACCATCCTACTGGCAGAGGACAGACTTCAAACAAAGGGCAGAAACCCTTGAACAGAAATAGAAAAGGCACCTTTAAAAAACGTCTTCCAAAGCAGGAAAAGTGCCTCCTGGAGTTTGGGTTCTAGAAGTCACTTAAGAAAGGCGGAATGAAAGTAAGTACGATTTTAAAGGCGAGGTTGTTTCCTTACCCCGGTGTCAGCTCTCCCGGAGCGCAGCTAGGGCAGAGAGAGAAAAAAGTAAGGGGCACCAAGCACCTCCAAGAGGCTTAAAAGGCAAAGCTCCGGCAGTCACCACAGAGCCGCAGGTCCGATCCTCTCCACGGGACACCAAAAGACCCTGTGAGACGCTGGACGCGCACCCCTCTTCCGGGGCCTCTCTCTTTCCCGCAGCTCCCGCTCTCTCGCGGGGAAGCCTAGATGAAGGCGGCCAGAGGGGACCACCGGTCCGATGGGCAGCAGTATTCCCGATCCTTACGGCCCCTCCGAGAGCTCCCCGCGGGCCCGGCCTGTGCCGGCCGCACGATACCTAGACCTACGACGCTTCCTGACGGTTGCCACGGAAACTACGGGCGTCCGAGAGGCCAATCTTCCTCGGCAGGCCGCGCCCGCGGCGGAACGGAGTGGCGGCACTCAGCGGTGACCAAGCACGATGACCGCTGAGGTGATATGGCTGCCCCGGCGGCCTGGGGTTACCCCGGCGCCGTCCTGCCGTGCTGGACGGTGTGGGGGCGAGTCTGCCGGGGCAGCTCGGTTGCCAGGAAGTGCCAGGAGCTGGGGCATCGTCTTCAACTGATCAGAGATCAGTACTTGCTGAAGAAAGAGCAAAAATTAGATGAAAAGGCTCCATATATGTTTGTGATTAGAATGGGTATGGTGCATTTCCAGGTGACATTGCCACTCATTTCTATCCACTGTCTTAATAGTTTCCCATTGGAAACGCGATTTGGGAAATACTATTTTGCTTTTATTTATGTGTGACAAAAGTGTGGCTTTCAGGGACAGAGCGACATTCCCATTTGTGATCCTTTTTGTTCCAATAGTTAATTTTTAGGTGTGGTTTGTTTTTTTTTTTTTTCTCCAGTTAATCCACTCATATGATACTGAAATCTCTTGTCATGAATACAGTGTTTATTCATGCAACATCACATCTGAATGTGGTAAATGACCTTTCGGGTAAAAGGTCCCAAAGAATTATGAGAACGCTTCCTTGCTTTCTTCAAGAGATGGGTTTATTCTTTCATGCGCACAACAATAAATCTCCAAGCAAGATATTTTCTTGGTTTGCTTGAATTGTGTGGGATACAACCTTTCCACCACTGCATTCTTTCTTATTTACATAATTTTTAACAAGGAAGTGACTGGGACTGCAGAAGTGAATAAGAAACTTTTCTGTTGGTTTTCCACAAAAACCCAGAAGGGAATGCACTGATAGTGTTGAAAAGTAGTTGTTGACTATTTGAAAACTACCATTGGCATTAGAGTTTAGCAAATGCTGGCATTTCATAATTAGTTTTCTCCAACATGAATAGTTTGTATCTGCCATTAATGGGAAGTTGTAAGTGAGGACATTTGCAGAGTTAAAGTAGGGCTGCATAATTGAATGCCTTTGGAATGCATTAGCATAAGAGGCCTTTTGGAAATACAGAAGGAAAAAAAATATAACAATAATGCTGGAGAAGGGAAGAGTTCTATTTTGTTTCTAAGTATTTTTAACTAAACCCAACAGACATTACAGTACTTTCACAAAATTATTGTGTTGTTCCACAGTAGTAAAGGCAATAGAGGAATGTATGTCTTTTTTATCTGTAAATTTTACAGGCTGGTAAATGGTCTTAGAAAAATCCAGTAATTCTAAGGCAGACTGTGCAAGTCTTTGAAAATCACACTACAAAATACAGACCAGCATGATCATCTCCATAATGAGAAAAAAAGAACTGCTTTTCTGAGCAAGGTTTATATTTAGCTCAGTGGTTTAGTATCATTTTATACATTTTATGTAGTTGCTTTGGGAGTGCAGAGCAGACTACAACTACATTCAAGCGTGGAAGAAAGCAGTAGTACAATTCCTAAGTCAGTAGGAGGTATGAACTGCTGTGTTGCATGAAGCAAAATACCACTGATCAGTTCTGTGGGGTCAGCAGCTCCCACTGAGTTCCTGGAGGCACAGAAATGGCTGGGTTGTAAAAGGATGAGTTAGACTCCAGCCTCTGTGCAAGAGCAGGGCTTAGTTCAGAGTTCAATCAGTTTCATGAAAAATGAAAAATAAAAGAGTGTTACGGTATGGTGGTGCATATGGTACAACGGAGAGTCTTGCTGTACGTTTAATGTTAAATATACAGACTACACTGCTTGCCTTGCAGTGAGAGGTGATGTGTTGCTGAATATTGTCATGGGGAATATGGGTCAAAATACTTGTAATAAAATGTTTTTGTTAAAATAAAATACTTTTCATACTATGTCCCACTATTTTTGATGGTTGTAGTAGGATCTAGTCTATGACATTTTAAACATATTTGGTGGATGGACAGTTTAGAAGGAAAAATACTGTAAGATCTATATAGTTCAACAAAACATGACAAATTTTAGGTTTTTCTCCATTGTGTTGATACCACTTTGTAGTCTTAAATATGGTGTCATGAGCTGCTGTTATTACTCAAAACTTGTGTAGCATTAGCTCCAGTTATTGTGAGTTTCTCTATTATGTATTTTTTAGTTTGTTTAATTTAACTGCCATAAATCTCTCTAAATGATTGAAAGTGAGTAGAAGACAAAAATATGAATAATTTGCAAGGAGATTTTATCATTAAAAGAAATGTGGTCACTGACATGTATGTGAGTGTGTTCAGGTGAGTATTTATAAATCTGAAAATGAAAGCTGACTCTGCACTGATTAGTTTTTCATAATAACAATACTCAACCAACTTAAATAGAACCAATGATTAGTTAATTATCCATTACTGCTGATAAAACCAATATGCAATTTGACTTTTCATTAGTCACAGTTAAATAGTTAATTGCTTAGGGGTAGGAGAATTCAACAAAGCAAAATGAATTCTGAGGCTTCTGAAATTAAAACTGAGGTTTACTGGGCTATGGCTAATTAATAGAACATCACATAAAACAGTCCTGTTAGGTCTTTTTGTCTGAGAACACTTGTGTTTTTTTTTAAGCTAATTTGTTTTGTATGGTTTAGGCTTGGCCTTTGGCCAGTGCCAATTGGGAAATGGTGGAGAGAATATTTCTTCACAAGTACAGACTTTTGGATGTGGAAGGAAGGGATTTGGTACTTGGATTTTTGTAATTTTTCTAAACCAAGTGCAATTTTAACCCCAGTTGGAGGCTAACAGCTCTTACAACCTAGTAAGAACAGTAAAATAACAAAATATGTTTCCTCAACATATTTGGTAATCCTTTTTAATTTCTCCAGTAACTGAAAAGTCAGAAATTCTCACTGGTCTCTCAAAAAGTGCACATTCAAAACTCAAGTCTCTAGGAGTGTTTTCCTCAGGTAGTCTTCAAACACCATTCCCCAGAGCTTTTATTCTGACTTTACCACTCTGCATGCATTATAAATAGTACCCTATAAAAAAGGAGTTATTTTACAGGGTTTGGCAATACAAACGAGCTACAGAATAGACTGTGGATACCTAATTGTAGCTTTTAGGTTCCTCTGCAAAGATTTGGATGTTCCAGGCACTTTCATTGACAAGGCATTGTCAAGGTTACCTCAGTGCCTGTCAGAAATTGATAGACCTATGAATGTTCCCTTATATCCTCAGCGAAAATTGGTGAAAATAGTGCTGTTTAAATTGAAGGATTCTAGGTAACAAACCATAGATATTACTGGATAGCTTAATATTTTTTTCTGTAACACACTAGTAATTACTTGATCACCTATTGTTAAGTGCTGAATTGCTGTAAGGATTTTGGATTAGCAGATCAAAGTCCTGTGGAAAATTTGCAGGCAAACTCCCAAGAACCAGACTGATCCAAGGAATACTTTCAGGTTTTCATATTGCAGAGTAACAAAAATGCATGCAACCATGACACCCAAATTTAGGAACTTTTCATTACTTATGAAAGTGCTTAAAACAGCTGTGCAGTTGTTTGGTTATACTTTTATTCATCTTGTACTTATGACCATACAAACCCAACATTCCTATCTCCTGTAGTTAGCTCGTACTGTCAGAAGCCGAAATAGACCACTTATACCCACATACCAATGAACTGTACTGTCTTAAAAATGAAGTTAGGATTAAAATGAGATATATCAGGATTTGTTTGTTTTCTTTCTGATTCTTCTAAATTTTCATATTGCCATCAATAATGGCAGTTCAGTTTGTTCTTTATTCTGGTGATGCCAATTTTTCAGGAAGAACAATTCGTTCCATTGCCATCTCTCAGATGGTGGCACAATCACAGCTACTTCTGTAAAAGTACTTTGCTTATTTATGGAGAAAGATCCATTCCCACAGTCAAAAAAGTAACAGTTAGGAACCTATATTTCTTTGAATCCCTGGATCTAAATCCAAGTTTTATGAGATTTGGTTTCCTGCCTCCCTGCTGTTCACTGGAATCTTGAGTCCTAATTTGTTTAAGGAGTCCTTACCACACCACAAAACGTCAATAGGTAAACAACTAAGAACAAGACTCAGAAAGTACCGAAGGTAAGCAGGCAGTGGCCAGCAGTAGCTTATGGGGAACATTAACGAGAAAGCTGTGGGTTCAGGGAAAGTAGGTGCCAAGCACTTGGGGGGAAAGAAAAGAGGGAGTTGGATATATATCTGTGAATTCTTGCCTGGAGTTTACAATGCTCAAAATGCTCAAAGCTAACAAAAAGTTTTGGAAGCAGTGCTAGAGGGCTTACTGGGTTATGGAAGACTCAGGTTCAAAAATCTGCTTTTGCGTGATTCGGAGCATAGACTCGAACCCAGGCTCTCCTGCCTCTCAAACGTGAGGAATACAAGGTGATATATCCAAGTGTTATTCTTGGCTGCTTTAGGATGTCTCTGATTGTCCCAGAGTACCAACTTTCATTAATTATGCTTTTGACCAAACAGGTGCAAGTACCTGTAAGTTGAAAAATAGAGAGAGACTGTATCTGTGAGCATAGGAATCCTGAAAGATGAACTGGTACCCAGTGTCACAGAAAATAGTAACAGGACTAGAAACAGCACGTTCTCTGTATAAACCAGAATCTACCTTTAAAAAATGGGAAAGAATATTCAAGGGTGACTACTTTATTACAACTTTGGGTGCATTGAGAAATGTTCTCCACTATTTTATATTGCAGATAGTTTTGTATGATGAGTGCCACACTACACAAATAGAAAAAGAGCAAGTAAGCTGGCCTTTCTCTTCCCCCCACAGAGAATGCCATTATTCTCTTCCTGCTGATTTTTGTGAAGCTGGAATTTGCTTTTAGGCATACAAGAAAGTTTTCATGGGATAATGTTCTTTAA